CATAATTCTGTGCTTCAGCAGTTGTGCGGTGCGGTTGCACACGCCGCAATTTCACGACGCCTAATCCAGCTGTTTGCTACCCTCCCACTTCCCATACTCTCTACTCCGGTCGCTGGTGAACGCTGGTGGACGCTGGTAGACGCTAGATCGACACGTAACTTCCCCAGCCTTCGAGGGGCTGCTGGTAACTGGTGGACGCTGGTAGATGGTAGACCGTTATCTATACTTTCTTAGTCGCTGACGCTCGGAAGGTTAGTGGTAGCAGATGGACGCTGCCGCAAAGTATGAACGCAGCCTCATCGCTCCTTCCATTCCCACTTTACCATCAAAAGCGACGCAATGTGATAATCCTCTTTCGCTCCTTGTCCCCGTCACAAGACCTGGGAAGCGTCATGCCTTCGCCTAGGGAATATTCGCACAGTCATCGTGATCACGAAAATCCCTAAGAACATTTGTAATAAAGAGCGAGGCTAGTTAATATTTGGACGGCTGCTGTGGTGATGCTCCATCTTGAATAACGCGGAATCTCCCAGGATGAAAGGATTCATAATTCTAAGCAGAGTTTGTTTCTTCGGTTTGTGCACGTGGTGAGAGACTCTCTAGCCACCAAAGCAGCCCTGGGCTTTTTGCAACAGCCGTCAAATGATGGGGATCAACTCACGCGTTCTCCCGATACTTCTTGTCAACCCAAGCGTTTCCAGAATACGAGGCATCACAATGGATCCACATGTCATACCTCGAACGAGTAATATTTGTACCCATTTTCGTAAATTTGAATTTTAGTCATACTTTTTAGCAACCGGCCAAATGGATTCTAAGTGATCATCAGCGGCAATTGATGACGTCCCAAGAGTACAGTGGAAATGGGTTGGAATCAATCCATTCTCGATGTCCTGCAAAAAGTAAGTGCACCCATTGCTGAGGCTTTATGAACGTTGTTTTTTGAAAGATTTACCTTTATGATGTATTTTTCAAGTTGTGCACCAGTAATTCCCCAGTCGTTCTCCTGGAGAGGTTGTATGGGTCGGCAGCGGACCATCGCAACCTTGCACGCTTTCTCAATGCTAGAGTGCGCCTGTAAAAGGTACTGGGTCAGATGATGGCTGCACACTGTGCTTTAAGAGCTCAACAGACCGACAGACAAAGAACAATCTGCTTGCAACATCCTGTGGAAGCCGAGTACACTAGTATAGTCACCCATCCTCCTAGAGCATTCCCAGAAGCGCATAGCAAAGCGAACTACGCTGCTGTGGTCCCACTCAAACCTCTTGAAGGCAGTTGGCACGATATTTTGTTAATTGGCCTAAAATGCTAGCAGGGCGCCATATAGTGGGGAAAATGGCGAAAAAACGAAGTGAAACGGTCAAAAACCTGCGAAGAAAAACCTTCGTCCTTAATGACAATTTCGGACGAGTTTTCTGTAGACATCTTGCCAATAACCGCTACGGTGGGTACGGCTGCATGTATGTGTTCCCATATATCCATGCAGCACCGCAGCCGCTTCATACCAATCTCTTCGCTTCATATTCACTGGACGAGATATAATGAGTATAGCAAATACAGCGCAGGTTATCCGCGTCGTCCATTTGTGGGCGGGCGGGCGTGGTGGAGCGCTCGGGTCGCAATGTTGTAGCTCGATAGGGCCCTTCTAAGAGTGCCTTTCCCAGAAAAGGCGCTACGCAGCACCTGCTTAAAGGCAGTTGGCACGATAAATCCCCCAAGACGACTAGGATCAATACTCCTGGCAGGATAGAATTCCGCGACCCTGGGCAGGCGCTGCATAGCGGTTTCCCCGAGGAAGGTGCCCTTATAAGGGCCCTATCAAGCCACAACTTTACGTCCCAAACGCCCGCCACGCCCGCCCGCCCACAAATGGACGACCGTTCCTGACGCTCGTATTCATTCATTTGCTAAGCAAATTATGAAGCGAAGGGATTGGTATGAAGCGGCCGTGATGCTGCATGCATACATGGGTACACATATGCAGCCGTATCTTCGGTAGCGGTGATTGGTAAGATGCCTACGGGAAACTCGTCCGAAATCGATTTACAAGTCACTGAGAACGGAGGCTTTTTCTTCGCAGGATTTTGACCGTTTCACTCCGTTCTTTCGCCATTTCCCCACTATATAGCGCCCTACTAGCATTTTAGGCCGAGCACCAAATCATCGTGCCAACTGCCTTTAGGCCACGGAATCCTATCCTGCCAGGCGGTTACCAACTGTCTTTAAACATGCAACAAATACTTTAGGAAATGGGCTTCTCGATCTGGTCGACCCACCCCTGTAGCCCTCCCTCTTGTTGAGGCCTTTTCGGTGGTCTGTTTCAAAATAGAG